AGCAACTCGCGGCACCACGACCGCCGGCCGTCAAGTGCGTCTGGGGGGATGGGCGGAGAGGGAGGGGGCGTCAGCTGCCAGTAGTCAAGGCGTCGGTCCTCGCTCACGCGGGTCGGAATTGCAGAACAAACAGCGGCATCATGCGCACGGGGCACGCGCAGGGGAGGGGGAGGAGGAGAGTGCAGGGCGAGGAAGAGAAGGAAGAAGAGAAGCAGCCCGTGGGACGCCTCGACAGCATGTTGAGGCCGCACCATCGACACAAAACACAGCAGCGTGCAGCGGCCCCCAACGCAGCAGCCGCCAGCTCCGCAGCACCAAGAGCCGCGGGCAGGGCCCACCCACAGTTACGAAAAACAAAATACAGCCAAATGAACACTTGCACAAAATATAAACAACTGAAAGCAGCCAAAAAATAAATCACACTGCGGGGTACAAAATGAGGGGTGACTGCGGTGCGCCGCCGCCGGGGCCCGCTCCCTTCCCTCCATCGATGAGTCCCACGCCGCTGCCGCTCCCACGTGGTGGACGTCACAGGAGCCCGTGATCGACTCTGGCGCCGGCTCCAGATGCGCCGTCCAGCAGGCTCAGGGTGTTTGAATGGGCGTCACTGCGCGGTGCCCGCAACCGGGGCCCAGCGGCAGGCGGGGTGCCCTCGTAGTTGCCGGTGACGCGCTCCCGCCGCGGCTGTACCGGGGCGCGGTACGACGACGCGCCGGTGTCGCCTGAGGCGTACGACGAGGACGCCCTGTCGTCCGGCTTCTGCGCGTCGCCGTCGCTCTCCTCGTCATCGTCCAGCATCGCCTCAAGCGCCCCGCGCCGCGGCTCGCGCAGGTGCTGCCAGTGGTGCTCCTCCACGTACCACACCACCGCGCTGTACACCGTGAGCGCCAGCAGCACACAAATCAGCAGCAGCACAATCGCCGCGTACGCCCTCGCACCGCCGTCGTTCGGCGCCAGGTAGTTTGCCGCGTTGATCAGGCAGAGCACCGCCAGGAGCACGAAGCTCGCTGTGTGCATCACCGTCAGGAGGGCCGAGCGCATCATGTTCGTGAAGGCCACCACGCCCGCGCCCGCAAGCAGCACCGCCGCCATGCAGAAGTAAAGGATGTGGCAGCTGCCCACAGGCGGGTGCACCGCCGCAATCAGGCTCACCACGCAGAGCACGGACAGCTGGAAGACGCTCCAGTACACGTAGCTGCCCTTCATGTTCGTGAACATGCTGCCGTACATCTGCTGCTGCGCCGCGGGGTACCAGTACCCGACGGGGTACAGCAGGCGCTCCTGGAACGGCTTCTTCGCAAACTGCCAGTACTTGGTGAAGCTTGCGCCCGTGTGGTGGGCAATGAAGTAGCACGCGCCAGCCGGAAACGCCACACCGTACAGCACGCCGGCGACCCCGACCACGTAGTGCTGCGCGTGGGCGCCGGGCATCGCCAGTACGAACACCGAGCCGAAGAAGATGCCGAGGTGCATCGCGTGCGCCACGAGGTACGTCAGGCTCGGGAAGCGCATCGCCGCCCACGCACTCGCCGCGTCCACGCCGCGCCACCGCCGGAACGCGGCCGTCAGGCCGTAGTGCGCGCCCCCGAACGCCGCGGCGACCAGCGCGTTGCCCACGACCAGCCACAGGGGGTCCAGGCCGGCGAAGACCGAGAGGAAGTACGGCAGCGCAACGGAGCTCGCGCGCTCCTGCGCCGAGGCGCATGACATTTTCGCAAACACGCCGAGTGCCTGCAGCTCCAGGATGGAGCCCAGCCCGCCGGTAACCGCCACGGCAACGGTCGTCGCACCGGCAACGACGCCGGTGATCGCCGAGAGGGCGCTGGCAAGGGCGGGCGGCGTGTTGGACGCGACGGTGAAGGACCCAAGCAGCACACCCTTGCAGCCACCGAGCACCGCCTCCGCGTCGCAGCTCACGATGATCGTCTCGTCGGCCCCGATGAAGTAGCCGCGGTACACCGGCACGGCCAGCTCCAGGACGTTGAACGGGTTCGTCGCGTTGCGCAGCCACGTCGCGTTGCGCAGCAGCGCCCCCCACGGCCCACTGAAGCCGTTCGGCTGCGCGGCCGACCCCTGCAGGAAACTCAGCCGCGTGCCGAGCTGCGGGTCGCTCGCCCAGCGGAACGGCGGCGGCAGCGCCACCACCAGCCGCACCGGGGCGGCGCCCCCCCCGCCGCGGACGTCGTTCTGCGTCAGGCCCCCGCCGGCCGCCGTCGTCGCCACCGCGAGCGTCGGGCACGCCACGTCGCTCCACCACATCGTGTCGCTCGGCGAGCGGCTCACGCTCAGGGACGCCGACGCCGTCTTCGTCGCAGTCGGCAGCGCCGTCGCCGTTACGGACGCCGTCGGGGTCGGCGTGGGCGGCGGCGTCAGCGTCGGCGTCACCTGCCGGGTCTCGGTCGGCCCGTAGTGCGTCGGACTGTAGCGCGTCGCGCTCAGGCTCGGCGTCGGCGTCCGCGTCGG